TTTACTCACTGTATGTCTTCCAACCAATATTTGAATTCTTAATTCATCAAGACTCGCTGAAAATGTGATTCATTATATACCATTCAATGCACCATGAGCTTTTCTACAAAACTGCATATGGAGTTTTTCAATTCAAGTGGATCACCAAATTTGGTAGAGATCTACTTTTCCCGAAAGTTTCATGGTTGTTTGCAAAAAATGATTTTCAATGTTGAAACATATTGTTTTTTTATCTCTACATACCTTCATCAGATAGAGCAAACAAAATTCTTTGTCATACATAAGTTTTACAAGAATCCGTCATTCTAAAGGGTTTATTTGAATAAAGTTTTTGTATGAAACTAAAATGGAGTACTCGGATACTTATTTTGACCAACTGTATATATAACAAAGGTTGAACTACAGTCTTTACGACATTAAAGTCTCAAAAAACCATCGACCCGTTAATATTGTATATATAAAGCCGTTTTATATTAATCGAAATTCGTCAGAGAGTCATATGAACAACTTTCTTGCGTAACGGGTGATCCAGAGAGAACAATAGCACTAATATTCTTAGAGCTTTCCTTCACTTTTGAGCTTGAATGAGCTATTTATTTTTATTAAAAGATTCTGCAATGAGATAAAGATGAGAATGTCCTCATCTCTTCTCCAACATCTGTACCAACAATCACCTCTAGAATATATAAATTAGAAGCTTATAGGTGATAATCATGTCTTTTCACTTGAGTGTCTTCTTCCGAGAATCCTAACAGATTTCATTTACTGGAAGAAGAGTTTTCAATATTTAGGTTCTATTCATATGTAATTAAATATTCGGCATATGCTTGAGCATCATGATAAACGACGAAAATATGAGTTCCGTCAGTAGTTGAATGGAATCCATCCGGTGGCATTTTCATGAAAGATGTTCCTGGACACGTTTTTCCGATCAAAACACGTGACAGAAACATATGTCGCTCTCCTTTAGCATTTGGGACAGCAAAAGCATGACTATAATTTGCATTCGCTGAAAAATAAACACCCACACCATAACTCGTGCCTAGAATAACACTTCTAAGAATAAAATTTGAAAAGAAAACAATAATCGATCTTACCATGTTGCCCAGCAAAATTTCTATTGAAGCCAAGCTTTACAATTGATGCCGCTGCCTGTTCTGGACAACCATGGTACAAACACTTTTCTGTGTCGCTATTCAATTCATTTTTAAAGTTTCGACTATGTATGGTATATTGAAGATAACAATATTCATTTTGAATGCGTTCGATTCGTATTGTTTTACTATAATTGCCTTGCATCGCACGGTTAAAGTTAGCGAAAATTGATTGATACTCTTGTGAAACAGGGTTCATCGTAAAACACATTTGGTTCTCTGTTCCGTATTCCCATGATGCCGGAAGGCAATGATTGAGTGACGTTTCAAGATCTGTGAGTGAATGTATTCAGTTATGAAACTTATGATGTTTTCAAGCTTTTGTGTTCAAAGCAATAATTAATTGTTCAGCAATCAATTAATAGCCTAGTAGACAGCATTGCTAATATTAAGTTAAAGGATTATAGTATATCAATTTTATTGGCTAGAGCTGTCGGAAATGATGAAACGCACCACGAAATTTTTAGAAGTTATTTTACAAGACCAAACGAAACTCATAAAACTGGGAAAAGCAAGCACTTCACTCAGATTTAATCTCTGAAAATAAACTGCATTTTTTATGAAACAATAGCATATGAATAATAGTTTTCATGGGACAATACAAAGAAAAGAAAATCAATGATTTAGGTATCAGAAAAGGTGAGTCTGGCATATGTATTTAGATATTGGTCATGTGATTGTTAATTGACAATAAATGTCCTTAGATCTATCTCATTCGAGAAGATAATTCAATGGGCCATACAAGTTAATGAAAAAGTTGGCATTATTCAATTATCTCAATTTAAAGCCAACCTAAAATTAGCTGATGAAAATACAGCGGTACTATTACCTTCCTGGGTTGCCTCGATTTGTTTACAAAATGTTTGATAAACATGCTCTCGTTCAGGTTCGACAATGAATTTTACTATCATTGGAACATTGCTAATCGTAAGCTGCTTTTTTATCTCTGCAATCATCGTTTTGGCCATTAAATTTACAGGACAGCCATGCTGTCCACATCCGATGATGGGTAAGGCAATTGAACTGAATTGATATGCAATGGTATTTTGTATAACAATTGATACAAAGTCAGTAATTGATTTTCGAAGTATAGCTAGATTTTTATCTGGTTGCCACTTGATAAAAAAGATTCGATTACAAGCTAGCTGACAAGATGGAATTGAAATCAGTGGGCTATTTGGATTCTTTTTATATTCCGTATTGTACATAAGTTTGGCTTTGTCACCAGCCGCATTCATTATTATCTTTTTTAAGGCTTCCGATGATGAAGTTCCAATAATGACATCAACCTAGAAAATAATCAAATGCAAAAATGACCTTCTTTAGATAAGAGTACTTCTTTTGCTACCTTTTGTAGAGTTATATTTCCCTTTTCAATTTCGATTGTTCCTTGTCCAATGGTTGTTGATATATTTTCAATACTTGGCGTTTGTTTAGGTTCTTGTAATAAACGAATTTCTTTCAGAAATTCATCATAGATATCCAATCTTTCTGGCTTTATTACAAATATAACTGAAAGAGGATATTTAGCCAATTGACGATTGACTTCTCGAACCATTGTTTGAGCAACTAGACCAATATCACATCTAGCTAGACCACAACCAACAGCTGGAAATGCAATGCTTTGACAGTTGTCGGTTGCTGCTTGTTTCATTGCATCACAAACAAATTGTTCGATCGACTGACACAATGTAGGAACATGAGAATTACTCTGCCACGGAAGAAAGTAAATTTTATTCGCGGTAAACTGTCCGCCCACTGTTATATTGATGAGCCGAGTGCTCGGATATTTTTGTAACTCGACGTCGTATAGACTTTCTACGAAGCTACCCGCAGCTTTAAATATGTTATCCAGCAAAAACTTTGACGAATTATGTACGACAATCACGTCGACCTAAACACATTAGCAGCTAAGTTAATAACATGCTTCACAAAAGCTTGAACTTACTTGTTCTGTTGTAAGATCACCTTTGCGGACATCAATGCTTGTTGTACCTTTTGCAGTAAGGCCAGAATGCTACAAGAAAATTAATTGCAAAAATCCATCAAGGTTTCTATTGTTAGCTACATTTAGAAATGGATGTTTACCGGTGTGAATGAGACGAAGACTCTTACTCACACCTATCCACCTACTCTATTACGTACCTTATCTACATGATAAGATGAATTAGACTACAGATGAACGATGAAATGAATAATTTATTTCATGATGAATATTTTTCAAGAAAAAGATTACCTGCTTCTGCACGTTATTAACTTGCGTATTGTAGTTAAGCCTACTAGTATCATGTTTGTTTTTTAGAGAGGCATTCGATTTTTGTGGCACAATCTGTGGCTTGCGCGAAAATATACCTTTCATGCGAAGTATTGATTTATCACAAGCCTTCTTCTGACCCTTCATATTCCCCTTTTCTTTTTGTTGAATTACACTGACTACCTGTGTTCCTTGATAAGCTTGTGTTGTGCGGACAGACTGAATCCCCTGAGATGTCTGTGTTTGTCGGACAGGCTGAATTTGCTGAACAGGCTGAATTTGCTGAACAGGCTGAACAGGCTGAATTTGCTGAACAGGCTGAACAGGCTGAATTTGCTGAACAGGCTGAATTTGCTGAATTTGCTGAACAGGCTGAATTTGCTGAACAGGTTGAATTTGCTGAACAGGCTGAATTTGCTGAACAGGCTGAATTTGCTGAACAGGCTGAATTTGCTGAACAGGCTGAATTTGCGGGGATGCTTGTGTTTGTTGTACAGTCCGCCTTTTTTGTGCAGACTGACTTTTCTGAACAGCTTGAGTTTCTTGAGCAAGTTGACTTTGCAGATCAGTGTGTGTTTGCTTGACAGGTTGAACTGGTTCAACAGTCTGAGTTTGTTGTACAGGCTGCATTTGCTGATCAATCTGTGCTTGGTGGATAGCCTGAGTTTGTTGGGTAGACTGAATTTGCTTAACAGCCTGTGTTCGTTGGGCAGGCTGAATTATATGAGTTATCTGTGAATCTTGATGTGTCTGTGATTCAGAGAATAGGTGTACTTTATACACAACTTGGATTATATCCATTACCTGTGATCGTTGAAAGCCTCGATTTTGATCAATGCTGTGGCTTTCTGGAGGCGTCTGAGGCTCACTGCTCGTTTGCATCCTCATGCTCGTACGAAAGTGCTTATCGTCCTATTTGTGAAGACAATTACAAGACGAAATCAATCTTATGAAGTTCAAGCGTCGTGCTTACTTCTGTGCAATCGTCCTCTGAATGTAAGTCGTCATATTGAGCAGCCACTATTGGACTGTCGATAAAAATACATGGGAAAATTGATGTTTGTATATTATCCAGCTGTGACTCATATTGAATCCACTGAACGACACAAGAAGGAAAACAGTTCGTTCAATTGCAAAAAGTCTACTCACAAAATTGTGCGGTTCATCATTACATGTTTTCGGTACAGCGACCCATTGCAACATGAACTTGTGATTTATAGCATCATTTCGTGGATCCTTAGCTTCTTGAGGTTTTAGCACGACTAGATATATTTCTTATATCTGTCAAGTATCACAGAAAAGAAAACAAAACATCATTTTACCACGAACATTTGTGAATTCATGCGGTTCCAAAAAATCCTCGAAGGGTTTTACAAAGTACCACCGCGGTGCTGTTGTTTTGATACGGTATGCAATTCGTTTATTACCACTGTTGACCAGTTGTAGCAACGTCGTAGATGGCTCAGTGTAGGGGCCTTTGTAAAAGAAAAAGAAGAAGCTCTTTTCACATAAAAATTCTTGAATGTGGTTTGTACCTTTGAAAACAAAACCATCACAAGAAATGAGTTGGTCTGTCATTAGTGTGATGCTTTAAAATTGAAAGAATAATGACTTCGGTTAATAGTATTGAACTTGTGCGGTTCTAGAATAAAATACATTATTAGGCAAGAAGTGAAACAAAGAATGTCGAAGAAATGTTTCGTATGTAAATGCAGTGTCTCAGAAGAACTACTTGTATACAACAGATTTTGCACTACGATGCTAGTCATGATAAGCGTCGTTTTTATGTACACTATAGCCCATTTTGTTCTTCGACCGTCGTTTGTGATCAAATGAGTTAAAATTAATGGTCTATTCATACGAAAGATTTTTTTCCAGCTAACACGATATTGCGTACATGTTTTTCTCTGATAATTTGTGTGTCACATGGTTTGTTCTATGATGATTCGGTTCTCTTTTCTTGCTCATCGTCATGCATGAGTATGTGCATTGATGTGTGAAGCCACTTAGAGATGAGTATTATGGCGAAATGAGTCAGTTCTGAACTTTCCAACAATCAAACAAAAGTATGACGTCATGCGTTTATGCTATTGAAACTTTGGATCTGCTATGACAAGTACCTAAGACGTGTTATAGGCGAAATATTTTATAGTTATTATCTACATATGTATGTTCACTTTATGTTTGCATATGTATATTTTATGAACTACAGCTATATACTTTCTTTCGTTCTGTCATGTATTTACTCTCGTGTGTCCCCCTCTCATTCTTTACCTTTTCTTTTTTTTTTGACGTAATAACTCATGTATTTTTCCAACTGTATTATGCTGCCTATTAGTATATTTCTTGTTTCTTCTATGATTCGATCTGTTTTTCTATGGGAAGAATTCATCTATCAAATCTGATAAGAGCTAGTTTGATTAACTATCGGAAATGAACCATATACGTAACAACAAGTGTTGGACAACAGGATCAAGAGTGAAGGAATATTTTCAAATGCTTAAGGGATAAAAAACTTAGCGAATAAATGATCGACAAACTATCGACATCATTCAGCAAGATCTACTAAGTACAACTACAAAATATTTTGTTGGATGACGTTCGCACAGTGTAACACATTATATAAACGATTTTGAGTAATTAAATTGATAATACTAAAAAAAATTATAAAGTTATTTGAATTGGTCAGCTAAAAAGACAGTCTCGAACAATCAAGTGCAATATCAAATTGTTTGTCACGCATCCGGTGTAAAAAAAATCTGATTATCATGGATTTTTTTATGATTGAAGATCAATTATAATGACACTATAAAATCCACGTTTAATCAGATTTAAAATGAAAAAAAAAGTTTTAATGAATTATTCTGAATAATCGATTACAATCAACTTTCTAAAAGTTTAAATCTGAATAAATTCAGATTATTATACTTTGATCATAATTAATTTCTAATCACAAAAATATCGATTAAAACTGACTTTTTTTAAATTTTAGATCTCATTAAATTTAGACCCAGTCAGACAAGACTCTAAAAAAAACGCGTTAAAACGCATTAAAATTTCGTTAAAACGCCGTTTTAACGATAGTGCCCCGTTAAAACGGCGTTTTAACGAAATTTTAACGAGTTTTAACGCGTTACCATAGCGAAACGTTAAAAAGTGTAAATTTTTTCTGTAGATTTACGCGTTTTAACTCGTTCAAAACTCGTATTTTACGCGTTTTAAGGAGTTACTACATCAAGACGTTAAAGTCCGTAGATTTTCTGTTGACTTACGCATTTTTACCCGCTCACAGCTCGTATTCTACGCGTTTTAAGGCCTAATTTTCTTAACGGATTTCGTTAAGTACAACATTCACCCGTTTATTCTGTTTTTTTGAAGCAATTAAGCATGTTTTAATTGATTTTGTATTGATGAGATTGAAAGCTTCTGCTTATGTCACTTCAACGAGTGACAATTATATACTACGAAATGTAAAAGTGGCAGTATAATTTTTTTTGAAAAATAACCTGTCAAAACCTGATCACTCAAATATTTGATATTTTATGACGTATATACATGCGGGTTGTTATTATCTTTTTTTTGCTCTGTGCCATGTCTTAAAGCAATTCTTAAAATAGTTATTTTAGTTGATAAATGTTTTCTTCGCATTTCTAATTCTCGATATTCAATTGAACCTAGAATACTCTCTGTACGTATTCGAACAACTCTGTTTGTTGATGGTCGATTATCAAGTTTTTTTATTATTCCTATCAAGTAATCGAATAATTGAACGGTCAATATCAAAATTAAAGAAATAAGAAAACTTCACGATGATGACCACAATTAACCCTTTGATTACCGGCAAAAGATAAACATGTAATCGAGAGTAGTTGTACATCACGCATGTTTATGTTTCTTACCGCAGAAGTTTAGTATGGATCGTAAGAAAATAATGATGTAGAAAGCTCCTGTTGCTTGACGCTGTCATTCACTCAAATACATCTAATAAACATACATTATAAGTGATTGCAATAGTTTCAAACGATGGTTAAGTTCATGACGCATATATGCGTCGTCAGTAATCAAAGGGTTAAGGAAAAAGCATTTAAAGCTGTTTGTATTTTGACTAAAATTATCATGAATACGATTTCCATCGACATCTGGTGTGCGAAATGTAATATTACTGAAACAAATATTCCGTTTGAAATTGAAACATATACCATAGAATGCTATTGTGACTTTAGCTTTTTGAAATAAAATGTGTTTTGTTTTTATACACATTAGTTTCGGATGACCAGTTTTTACTGTAAAGAGAAACAATTTTGAATATCTTCATTTCACGCATTCATGCGTGAAGATGATATTTTATAGTATGTATAGCACATACTACTGTTAGTATCCTAATTTCAAATGCCATTTTTAAAATTTTATCTGCGTGATTTTCTAGTTCAATAAGAGTAAAATATAAATGAAACATTCTCTCTCCAAGGGATAAAACTTACCAGGTTCAGTATAGATATCTTACTCTAGCTAAGGGAATAACTTATAAAACATTCTAATATTTATTAATTGCTGATGATTTTTGTGTCACAATATGAATAAGTCTGTATACTAATGAGTGTATTGAAAAACACATGTAACTATAATTTCTAACAGAAGTACGTGCACAGTTAGTTTGAAAATCAACCAGTTGCATTTCTACTGATATAAATGATGAAAAATAATTGAAAAAACTATGGTCAAAATTAGGATAAGCGAACTACCCCGAGTTCACCAATTTCTAATTCTTAGGAGCTTTTATCATTCCAACAACAGTATGATTCATAGTTCTATGAAAAAATATTTAAAAAAAACCGATCTCTCGTCGTATATTGCCATATAATATACTAATCACATTGATGCTTGACTTTCATTAGTATCAAACAATTGCTATGTCAATAGTAAACGAGTGTTTGATGAACGGTTATCTTGATTATCAACAATAAGTTAGATTCGATATCAAATGAACGTAGATCACATAGAAAATTTTCGCATAATTATAATGAGTTTTTAACGCTACGATGTACTTTAATATTAGTAGTCAATGATGAAACTAAGTCTACGTGGTACGTTGTTGTTGCTGCTGTAGGAATGATTGATGAAAAATCAATTGCAGCAATTGAATCGAATCTGATTGATCAATGTGCAATAGATTTGTGTTAATGGATGAGTTCTCTTTGTTCACTTCACGACTTGAAACTTCAGCAAGATTATCTGATGCCTTATCTTCAATATCAAACGATCCTATTTAAAAAAAATCGAAGTTCTTCTATTTTTTTTTTCGAAGAATAATTGGCAAACTCTCGCCAACATTGAAACTAATCTGGTGCTTTATGCTTTGGCTATAGAAACTATTCAGATGTTTTCTTCTTTTGTTCATTATTATTTCTGTATTATCAAGAAAATCCTCATTATTTGATTGTATAGACATATCTGTTATATCATTAGTATTTTTTATTGCGTGCAATATCTGTTGTCGAAAAATTTACCGGTTGAGCTTTTGTTGAACCATTCAAGTTCTTGTTTTCTCTTTTTAGCATTGATAAGTGTATATAAGATTATGCGAGTGAGAAATGATGAAGAAATCTAGAATTCTATATATATATATTTTTTTTTATACTGTTAACACGAAAAAAAGCTGAGCATTAATAGAGGACTCATTTAAATGTCACTTATTAAGTGGTCTTTAGATGAATAAATCGCATTGATTGAATAAGATCAATTTAGACGAAACAGTTTGTTTCTTTTAACAGTTATATTTCTTTCTTATTTATCGACATGATAAAGAAGTCATTATGCTTCTTATTACAACTGTCGATTGTTATTCGTCTAGACACAAGACTGTTATGCATGAAATTCAAGAATATTTCGTTTCTTTCTCCATTTCTATTATTCAGTAGCTGAATTCATCATTTCACGTTAGTTGTCATTTTCAACCAACCATATGCATGGTAATCTTTTGTTATGAATGTAGGGCAGTTTTTCAATGTAATTTAAACATGATATTTTCCATTTAAACGGATAGGAAAAAATAAAAGCTAAGTTTTAATGAGCCTGATTTGCCTGGCCCTTGATGTATATATATTTCAAGTTTTTTCGACATTATTTAGAATAATAGAAAGTATCGAAAAATTCGTTGTGAATTGTTTTGATACTATCTCAACGTCGTTCTAAGAGAATATTTTAAATCGACAAAAGATGTCTGAAATGATCTGTTTGCTTATGTACAAGTTGAAATGTGTTTATCGTTCTTCTCTCGCATCAGCAAACTGTTAGTGCGAATGAAAAATACACTTTGACATACACTACAATTCAATTTGATTGAAATTTCACTAAAAAATTCTTCTGTTTTTCTATTTAATAATCTAGATTTAGTATTGAATTTAACTTACTTTTTTTCTGAAAAAGAAAGAAAAAAAAGTGGCGCCACCTATAACTGTAATTTTAATTTTTCTCAGAAACAATTGAACCAAACTCTAAATCAACTTCAGATCAATAAATAAAAAACAACAACAGAATAGTCTTTAGAAATCTCATCAGAAGGTATATTTGAGTATGTGGGAGTTTATATTTTCCGACGAATCACTATATATATATATATACATATACAGATAGATAGCTAAATAGGTAGTTAGATATACAGGTAGATAGATCGTCAGATAGATATGTAGTTAGATAGTTAGATAGATAGGTAGTTGCATAGTCATATGGTTAGGTAGTTAGATAGGCGGTTAGATACATAGATAGACAGATAGTTTGATAGGTAGTTGAACAAATAGGTGGTTAGATAGATAGGTAGATAGCTATTCAGATAGATAGATAGGCAGGTAGTTAGATAACCATGTAAAAAAAAAGTATAAGAAAACACTATTAAGCACTTTCAATAGTGGATTTTAGACAGGGAAAGTACTTCATAGTAGTTTTTGAGTAAAAACTACTATAAAGTACTTAAAAAGATTCGCTTATAAGTATTTTTCCTGTTTAAAATCTACTATTGCAAGTACTTAGTAGTAACTTTTTTGGATGAAATTTTTTACATGGATAGATAGATGGTTAGATAGATAGATAGTTAGGTAGATAGTTAGATAATGAGGTAGATAGATAGATAGGTAGTTAGATAGCTAGTTAGGTAGATAGATAGTTAGAGAGATAGATAGATAGTTAGATAGATAGATAGTTAGGTAGATAGATAGATAGTTAGGTAGATAGATAAATAGATAGGTTGTTAGATAGTTAGGTACCCAGTCAAACAAACACCAAAAAAAACGGCGTTAAAATGTTGCAAAATTTTAACGAAAAAAAAAACGTAAAAAGCGCACATTTTTTGGATTTTTTTTTCGTTAAAGT